GTGTGTGTGTGTGTGTGTGTGTGTGTGTGTGTGTGTCAGGAGCCAGATATGGGAGGCAAGGGAATAAATAGGCAGAAAATAAAATTGGGATCCAGAAAGGCAGACGGGCCTTCAAAGCCTACACTGGCAGTCCCTCGACTGCTGACTCTTTTTTTTTTTTTTTTCCCCTCCATGGAAAACCCTCTTGTTTATTTGATTAAACAAAAATAAAATAAGCTGCATAGGAACAATTTTAAAGTCCAAAGCGACACCAACTTTGTTTTAAGGCTGTAGTAGCTAATACTGCATCTCCTTGTTACCTTCTCCGGCCTTCTCTGTGGACCAAAGCGATACATTCAGAAGCCTGTAAGCTAACATAGGAGTTTTTGAACACCTTTCCATTGGTTCTTCATCTGCTCATTGCCTGTCATGCCTCAGCCTGCAACATTAACATTTAAGATTTAAAAGTAAAAACCAAAGGGGGRAAGAGGGGGAAATACAAATAAAGAAAAACCCACTTTTGCCTACTAAAGGTTTGGGGGAAAATCTTGATTTCCCCACCCATCCACCAAAATGATGGAGTCGGCATTCCCAAGGCCAAGACCACTTAAAAAGAGGCAAAAGGCAGTTGGCACCCCACAAGGGCCGATAGTCTGCTTTGTGCAGCTAGAGAAGTTATTGTGGTGGTGCGTATTTCTCCTATCAGTTTGCCTGGAACAAATAATAAAAATTAGAGGTTTAATGTAGTCAGTATGACTAACACCGGGCATAAGATCTGTGTTAGAATCCCCCAATCCTGCATTTACTTTTCCTTTAAAAAAAATAATAAATAAATAAAAAACTCAACCAAGACACATATTCTATACAAAAAAAAAAAAAAATTAAAGCATTTTGCTGACCAGGCATGATATCTAATGAACAGTATTAAACAAGATTTATTTAAAAAAAAAATACTAACAACCCTCCCACCCAACTGACTATACCTATCATGCTAATTTAAAACATGCCTTTACCCACCCACCCTCATCTGCATTGACTTTAGGGGAAAAGCAAGGGGGGGGGGATCTTACCACCCTAAACACAAGAAAACCCCCTAAATGTGAAAAACTCTTCCTCTGAAGACAACTACACAAACTGCTGGAAACATAAAGAACTATTACAGAGCTGGTTATTTAAAGAAAGTAAACACTTTGCTAGACACACCAACATTTAGCCAGTGTGCTCTGAGATAGCCGTAAGAAAAAAATATCACCTGAGCTGTAAGTTAACACAATCATTAAGAGGAGGTCTAAGACCGTGTGGATACACAAAACTTTTAGAACCATTGCTGGTTAAATAATGATGGAGAACATCCCACCAGGCTGGCTTGTTAACCCATAAGATCAGTTTGTTTGTTTTTTAAATAGACATTATTGAGGTATTTCTTCACCGTGATATTTACAAACCCAACTCTCATTATTACAGTGGTGTCAGGACCCTCTCTTCCCACTGAACCAAAAATCAAACAGGGAAGAGGAGGGGCAGAAGGTCAATACAGTATATCCTGATAATATGCTTCTCAAATTTATTAAGTATTTAACAAACAAGTAAAGGGGGAGGGGGGGA